CAGTAGGCGGGGTGCCGTTAGCTGTGTGCAAGGGTCAGCTACAGAGCAGATAAGCAGCGCTAGGCCCCGGGCATGTTAGCTGTGTAGGCAGGTCGAGTACAGCGAGCAGCCATAAGGCGCAGGTAGGCGGGTGCCGCTTAGCTGTGTGCATCATAGGAGAGGAGATAAGCAGGTAGGCGGCCGCAGTTAAGCCTGTTTGGCCAGGCGGTCAGTACAGAGAGATAAAGCAGGTCAGGCGGAGCGTGGTTAGCTGGTGGGCAGGCGTTCTATTGTAACAGAGAGATAAGCAGGTAGGCGGGCGTGTTAGCTGTGTGGCAGGGTCAGTACAGAGAGATGAGGACGCCCGTATATGATCGCTGTAATCACTGTATGTGATTGTATGTGATTGTAAACATTGGTAAAACAAATGGTTGATGTGGCTCCCGCACCGCACTTCCCTGACGTCTAATGTTGCTGTGCTAATGTTGCTGTGCTAATGTTGCTGTGCTAATGTTGCTGTGCTAATGTTGCTGTGCTAATGTTGCTGTGCTAATGTTGCTGTGCTATGTTGCTGTGCTAATGTTTGCTGTGCTATTGTTGCTAGCTGCCTAATTGTTGCTGTGCTTAATGTTTGCTGTGCTAATGAAATTGCTGCTGCCTATATGTTGCCTGTGCCTAATTGTTGCCTGTGCTATTGTTGCTGTGGCTAATGTTGCTGTGCTAATGTTGCTGTGCTTTAATGTTGCTGTGCTACATGCTTGCCTTCTGCTTATTGTTGGGCTGTGCTAATGTTGCTGTGCTAATGTTGCTCTGCTATTGTTGCTGTGCTAATGTTTGCGTGCTGTTGCGTGTTGTTGCCCCGCAGAGCTGTGCCTGATGAGATCGCGCGGGCAAACCGTCTGGACATGGTCGCGCCGCGCGCCGCACTTCCTGGACGACTTCAACTTTGACGACTGGCAGGCAGCACATCCGACCTGTTCCGTCACTCGACGGCGCCGGTGGCTCAACAAGGGAACCTGAGCGAAAACAAGTGAGTGCTGGAGGGGGGAGACCCAAGGCCGCAGATTTAGGGGGCCGGTTTGCCACGCGGTTTCCAGAAAGCCGTCACAGGCTGGGTATTCTTCAGAATTGGACCCTGCAAAATTCACCAGATTGCCACCAAATATAGCTAATTTTTAAAATTCCTAGAGCGGGGCATGCCCGGACCCCCCTAGCTGTGACTAGAACTATGGAAACTGGTCACCCAACCCTCTGGATCCGCGCCTCTGGGCATGGCTCAAAATTTCCATATTGCTAAACTCGCAAAGATTGCGCTTGTCGATATTGAGGAATTGGCGAAGAGTAGAAAATATATAGCACTTGCTATTTTCGCTGGAGGGAAATTTATAGCGCGTACACCGCATACATTATCACTGATCGATCACAGGAATGAATATATTCTTGTGATATAATGGTCAACTGGTCGCGTCAAAGCTGCAATTGGAAGCTCATTCCAACGATTAGTAGTAATTTGTATGCAAAAGGTTATGTTAATATCTCCCAAAAAGCATTAGAACGTTATGAATTACGAATTTAGCACGGTAGATTTTTAGGCAACTCGTGCCGGATTTTTGCGCAAGTGGCCTAAAATTGCGACAATTCGTCCCCTGCGGGCGAGGCGGAGGGCGGAAGAGTGTCAGGTCTGGGTGCGCAGTGTGGGGTGGGGGACGGGGGGGGATTTAGACGTTTTGGTTATTTGCAAACACATGTGTACATTTTCGCCACATGCGTATATATATAACCATACGTTTTGTTGGCACATATGTAAAGGTTATGTTCAAACTCTGTGGCATTTCGGCAAGGGCTGGGCCATCCTGTAGTTAGGATTATCAAATCAGCAGGTCGACCGCATTCTCGTAATAGTCACCAAAGAGAGCGCGCGACAAGTCGCAGTGGAAGCGACGCGACCGCTCCCAGCAGCAACATACGAACACCTCAATGAAAATAACGACTACAATTGAATGTAGGCTAGTTGAGCTGATCTGAACATCCGGGCTTGACAACACGTACATGGGTGTGCTCTGCCGGACTAACAGCCCCCGTGATCGTCGCAGACTTGTGGTGCGAATCGTTATCCAGTGATTAATATATATATCATATCACGGGTTCAATATTTATAATAATTGACAATTTTCATAATTTAACGCTTGATATCAGGGTAATAATAAGATCAAAATTCGTGTTTATTAACTACTGCTGAATTATTATATCATTTGTGCTGTGTATATCAGTGCATATATGTGGATTAGTTGACTATATGTGTGGTGTATATGGTGGATATGCGTATGTTATGTGTGCGATGATTATGGATAGCTAGCGAGGGTTTGATCTCTCACTGTGTAGAGTGATTCCTCTGTTTATAAGTAGTCACTGTGCGACTGCGATGGCAATATTTAGACTGCTTTGAAAGCCCACGTTTAGCCCAAGTGAACTTTAGCATTGTGTATATTAAACAAAATATTCTGAGGGGAGACATGCGGCCCCAAGCATTAGCGGATGTGAAGTCCATTGTGATTAGTTTTGTGAAGGTTAGAGTGTAAATAGTATGAGATAGCGCTAGCGGTGAGTTTAGCTGTTGCGGTGCGTACGTTATGTGGTTGCGCCATCGTGGCTCAGAAATAATTATTTTACTGCGGTTGAAATCAATTTAAGCAGCGCACGCTTTAAATATATGGCTCTTTTGTTACCCAATCAGAGGCCTTGTTTCACATAATTTAACCGCGGTAACAATAAATGCATTCTGTCAAGTTCGATGGCCAACATGTACGTGAGCGCTCACTGGTGGGTGATGTGGCGAGCGATGAAGCAACAAAGAACAGCAGACTCTGGACTGCGGCGACGCTTTTCTTTACGCGAACGTAACCGGTCGTACGACCCGAATAAAACTTCGTGCGATTGATGTTGAGTTATTGCCCATCATGGAAGATCGGTAAAGCGCTCATGCGCATACGAAAAGTCACTTGAATTCATAGACGCGCTCCATACCCCCACACCGCGGCCGTATTACGTACACGGCACTCTGTAGCAAACAGCAAATAGCCTGGTGACTGCGTTCATTAATCGCTACAGCGTGTTACACTCACGGTTGGGGTGTGCGCCTCTGTTAGATTGTTGTATTTAGATAGAGTTTAGGGCGCTGTCAGTGATCCGTGCTGTGTGTGTCGTGCGTGCGTGTGGCCGTGTGGCGTGTCGTTGGTGTCGCTCGTGCGCGTGTGCCGGCGTTGGCGCCACTGCCGGTCGGCGTGCGGTGCGTGCCGTGCGTGCTGATGGCGGTTGCGTTCGTGTGGCTGACGCATCCAGAGCGCGTTGTTACGTGACTTTTACGTGCGCCGAAAACATAAGATACTGTCGCGTGCTGCCGTTCTTCTCTCGTCTTCTGTTACTTTGGCTTATTATTGACCGCGTTTGTCATTGTATGTCTCTTTCTCTCTCCATCGACGGCTCTTCTCTTGGCAGTATGAGTGCTGAATGGAGAGACCATGCGCCGCGGCGTGCGCTGTAAGGTGTCGCTTCGTGGCATCAGTGTGCTGTTCTGATGCTGACAGTCCACCCTCCCTACTGTTCTGTCTGTCTGTGCTGTGCTCTTGTCTGTCGTGCTATCTAATAGGCATGTAAGTGTCGCTTTCGTGGCATCCGGTGTTTGTGTGTGGCTGCTGCCAACGCAGTCACGCACCCTACTTGTCTTGTCTGTCCTGTCTGTCTGTCTGTCTGTGCTGTCTAAGCGTGTAAGTGCGGCCTTCGTGTGGCATCGTGTGTGTGTGCCTGGCTGCACGCAGTCACACCCTACTGGTCTGTCTGCTCTGTCTGTCTGCTCTGTCTGTCTGTCTGTCTGTCTGTCTGTGCTGTCTTCGTCCTGTCTGTCTGTCTGTCTGTCTAAGCGGCTGATAGAGGTCGCTTTCGTGGCAATCGTTGTGTGTAGTGCCTGCCTTGCACGCAGTCACCAACCACTACTGTCTGTCTGTTCTGTCTGGTCTGTCTGTCTGGTCTGTCTGTCTGTCTAATGCGTGTAAGGTCGCTTCGTGCATGCGTTCGTGTGTGTGCCTGCTGCCACCAGTCACCACCCTACTGTCTGTCTTGTCTGCTCTATCTGTTCTGTCTGTCTGTCCTGTCTGTCTAAGGCGGTGTAACGGGTTCGCTTCGTGGCATCGTGTGTTGTTGTGCCTGCTGCACGCAGTCACCAGCCTACTGTCTGTCTGTCTGTCTATCTGTCTTGTCTGTCTTAAAGGCGTGGTAAGCGGTGTCCGCTTCGTGTGCATCGTGTGTGTGTGCCTGCCCTGCACGCAGTCACCTACCCTACTGTCTGTCCTGTCTGTCATCTGTCTGTCGATCAGAGGATATTATATGATCTGAATACTAGAGACTGTCTGTCTGTCTGTCTGTCTGTCTGCTCTGTCTAAGGCGTGTAAGGGTCGCTTCGTGGCATCGCGTGTGGTTGTGCCTGGCTTGCGGGACCAGTCACGCACCACTGCTGTCTGTCGTCCGTAGTCTATCTGTACTGTCTGTCTAAAGGCGTGTGAAGGGTCGCTTCGTGGTCATCGTTGTGTGTGTGCCTGCTGCACGCATCCCACGCCACTGTCTGTCTGTCTGTCTGTCTATCCTGTGCTGTCTGGTCTAAGGCGTGTAAAGGGTCGGCTTCGTGGGCATCGTGTGTGGTGTGCCTGCTGGCACGCAGCACCAACCCTACTGTAGTCTTGTCTGTTCTGTCCTATCTTCTGTACTGTCTAAGCGTGTAAGCGGCTCGCTTCGTGCCATCGTTCGTGTGTGTGCCTGCTGCAACGCAGTCACCACTCCTAGTCTGTCTGTCTGCCTCTGTTCTGTCTTCGTGATCTGTCTGTCTGTCTCGTCTGTCTGTGCCTGTCTAGTTCTGTCTGTCTTCTAAGGCGGTAAGGGTCGCTCTCCGTGCGCATCGTGGTGTGTGTGCCTGCTGCAGCGCAGGGGTCACCACCTGCCTGTCCTGTCTGTACTGTCTATCGTCTCTCTGTCTAAGGGCTGTAAGGCGTCGCTTCGTGGGCATCCGTGTTTGGGTGTGCCTGCTGCACGCAAGTCACCACCTACTGGTCTGTCTTCCTGTCTGTCTATCTGTCTGCTCTGTCTTAAAGGCGTGTAAGGTCGCTGTTCGTGTCGCATCGTGTGTGTGTGCCTGCTTGCACGCAAGTACCACCCTACTGTCTGTCTGTCTTCTGTCTCTGTCTGTCTGTCTAAGGCGTGTAAGGGTCGGCTTCGGCTGCATCGTGTGTGTGTAGCTAGCTGCACGCAGTCACTCACGCTAACTGTCTGTGCTTCTCTGTCTGATGCGTCTGTCTGTCTAAGCACTCTAAAGGCGTGTAAGGGTCGGCTTCGTGGCATCTGGTGTGTGTGCGCTGCGTGCACGCAGTCACCAACCGTACTGTCTCTGTCTGTCTGTCGTGTCTGTCTGTCTGTCTAAGGCGTGTAAGGGTCGCTTCGTGCATACGTGTGGTCGTGCGCTGCTGCACGCAGTCACCAATCCCTGCTGTTCTGTCTGTCTGTCTTCGTTTTGTGTGACGTCGTGGCGTGACACGTGATGCGATGTCTGTGTTTCTGTATGTCCCTTTATGCGTATTATATGTCGTGTCAGCCGCTTGAGTGTGTGTGATGCGTGCGTCGTGCGGTCCTCCGTCTGTAAGTCTTGTCTGCTTATCTGCCTGCCTGCCTGCTGTCTGCTGGCGTTAACGTTACTATGGTAGTGGGGCGTTGATTACCTATATGGTTTAAAGTAGGTTTTTTTACCTATATGGTAGTGGTGGTCACTGCTTGACTCTAATTGTGTGACTGTCCATCTACATGGCTGCGTCGCGACGTATCTCTTTGGTGGTTAAATTGTCTTATAACTGTTTGTCTACAGCAGCTGTGAATGAAGAGCTCGTGCACCGTAAGCGGTACTATAGCTAACTACTACGTCTACGTATAGAGCGTCATAGCCGTGTCACTGTCTAGGCTCTATCTGTATAGGCGTGATACTGTCTGTTATCAGAAGGTCACGAGACTGCTAGAATGTTGCTCCTGTCTATAGCGTAGGGTAACCGCGTGTTGCCTGTTGTATGTTGCTATGCTGGGCCGGGGTGGCCGCGGAGGCGTGGGACGAAAACTGCGCCGCAGCCTGGCAGACGCACTGTCCACACTGTGGCCAATCGCAGTAGATATATACAACCACAATCCTATGAAAATTTTAAAACATAAATTGACGTAATGATTTAATATTAGAAGCTCACTCAGCAGCCTTTCATACATCCGGAAGTGCGGTGTCACGGTGCCGACCATCCAGTAACGGCCACCCTAGCAAATACGGTACGCCTAACCGTATCAAAACGTGGGACGCGGAGCCTGTTGTTGAGAACGAGTGAGTTAACCGCGCGCGTTTAAACGCGTGCTGGCGCGAATGTTCCGATGAATGTTCAGAGCGTAGCACTCGCGCTCATGAGATGCTTTGTTGTTTTTGAGATTCTTTCATCGTCGAAGATTGACTAGTCGCAGTCAGGTGTTTGCGCGTGCGTGCGTGCGTGTATGTGCGTGCGTCTATGTGCGTGCGTGCGTGTACTGTACGTGTATGTGCTTGAGTGAGTGCGTGCATGCGTACGTGTACGTGCGTGAGTGAGGGCGTGCGTGCGTGCGTGTGTACGAGATATAGGTGTGTGTGAGAATGAGTGTGTGCGTGTACGTGTATGTGCGTGAGTGAGTGCGTGTGTGGGTGCGTGTACGTGTATGTGCGTGAGTGAGTGCGTGTGTGGGTGCGTGTACGTGTGTGCGTGTGTGCGAGGTATGCGAGGTATAGGTGTGTGTGAGAATGAGTGTGTGCGTGTTCGTGTCTGTGCGTGAGTGTGTGCGTGTACGTGTCTGTGCGTGAGTGAGTGCGTGTGTGGGTGCGTGTGTGTGAGGTATGCGAGGTATAGGTGTGTGTGAGAATGAGTGTGTGCGTCTGTGTGTCTGTGTCCATATAGTAGGTGCTTTATAGTGCTTAGCAGCTTGTCACCATTATCACCTCCTAATGCACTGTTTTATCGTCGTGGTGCACACATCGCAGCAGATGAAGAAGGTAACACCTCTTACACATGCTGCCAGTGTGTTCTTCGCATCGTGTGCGCCCTCTATAAACAAGAATGTTGACGCTGCTGTGTGGAATCTTGCGCGCGGTGCATGCACGCGTGCGCGCTCGCTTGGTGACAGTATAGCTGCTAGTAGGGGACCTCCTCTGACCTTTTACTCAAGAGCTTCTCAACTCGTTCTGTTCCCACTGTCTTCCACTGTCTACAAAATTCACAGGAAGCAAAATGTTCAAACTCCACTTGGAAGTAACTTTTTTTATAATCTATACTTTCTTGTCTAATTTCTTTCCAGAAAATTTCTTTCCGGAAAAAAATGTAATCGTATAACCCCTGGGTAGTTAACTTGGGTTAGACTGACACTGCTGTGCGAAACATATCCTTGAGTTGCTACAGTAACGGCGACGAGGTCCAGTCTAGTGAAGCCGCAGGGAAGGCGGTAGCATTGTGGTAGCTTCCTGTACTGGTTACGTGGGTGTTTATGCCAGCTGGGACTGCATGGATTTCGTGCTACTCTACCTGATGCATGACATTGCATCGATGCGGCGCGTGGAATCACACGCGTGAACACTACTACCCACTCTATCTATTGTAGCAATCATGGACCCCGTCTATGGTTAGTCGTTTCAGTTTTCAGCGTGGCCGGAGTTATATATGCTTAAATCATCGCAAGTTGATTTGGTGACGCAAGCAGCGTTTGTTGGTGGCAGTGATGCTGCGCTGTGTGTGTGTTATATAGCAAGGCTGCCAGGCTGCGCTCCGTGTTCAGGTTGCCAGCACCAGTTACCTGTGCACTCCTATGTTGGCATATTTCTGATGTGTTTTTGGGTGGTTTGTTGCTACTGTTGTCAGCTTTTACTATATGGCTGGTGTGTATATGGAGAAGTGCTATCTCGTACGATATTATTTCAGTCACGATCAGTTTACTACCTTTTTGCTATGGACTGGACCTGTGATTGATGTTTTGAGTGCAAGAAATATATTACTTAAGATTTAAGGTGGTGGGACTGAATGCTTTTAGCCTTGTAGCATGACCACATGTATACATATTCCGGTGCATGTAGTCATACTACAATCATGTAGATGTGACAGATGTTCTGTTAGGGTCTCATAAGGCAATGTGTAGGAACTGCCGACCTGTTGGCATCTACTAAAACTAACCATAAAATCTTGTCTCGAGTCTCCTTACCCTTGTAAAGAATAAGCAAAAGAAATAAAAGAAATAGCAGTGAAGCAATGATGTTTAAGTTAGCTAAAAAATTATAGTGCACATACAGTATAGTCATATATAAAGTTATATTGAACAGTTATTTGGTATTTCAGCATATTATTTTTCATTTTCACTGATGGTTCAACCATAAATTTGAATCACTGGAGGTTTATTCAAAGGTTATGAAGTTGGTAACTGATAAAATATATTTATATAAATTTACATATATATATATATATATATATATATATATCCGGGGTTAATATTATAATAATGACAAATTTGTCATTATTAACCCCTGATATCAGGAGTTAATAAAGACAAATTTGTCTTTATTAACTCCTGCTGATATATTATATGTTGTTGTTGTTGCCCCGCAGAGTTGCTGATTGAGAATCGCGCGGGCAACGTGGACATGGTCGCGCCCGCGCCGCACTTCCCCGACGACTTCAACTTCGACGACTGGCAGCACACATCCGACCTGTTCCCGTCACTCGACGGCCGCGTGCTCAACAAGGGTCCTGAGGAAAACAAGTGAGTGCTGGGGGGGGGGAGCACCAGGCGCGGATTTAGGCCGGTTTGCACCGGTTTCCAGAAACCGGTCACAGGCTGGGTATCTTCAGAATTGACCCTCAAAATTCACCAGATTGCACCAAATATAGCCTACTTTTTTTTAAATTCCCGGAGGAGGCATGCCCCCGGACCCCCCTAGCTGTGACTAGAACTATGGAAACTGGTCACCCAAACCCTCTGGATCCGCCCCTGGGGCACGGCTCAAATTTCCATATTGCTAACTTGCAAAATGCGTGTCGATATTGAGAAATTGCGAGTAGAAAATATAAGCACTTGCTATTTTCTGCGAGTGGAAATTTATAGCGTACACCGCATACATTATCACTTTCGATCACGGAATGAATATATTTTGTGATTAATGGTCAAACTGGTCGGTCAAATTGCCATTGAAGCTCATTCCAACGATTAGTAGTAATTGTATGCAAAAAGTGTATGTAATATTCAAAAAGCATTAGAACGTTAGAATTCATTTTAGCACGTAGATTTTTTAGGCACTCGCGATTTTTCGCAAGTGGCTAAAATTGCGAAATTCGTCCCTTGGGGGAGCGAGGGGGAAGAGGGAGGTGCTGGGTGGCGCAGGTGTGTGTGTGTGGGGGGTGGGGGGTGATTTAGAACGTTTTGTGGTTATTTCCAACCATGTGTTACATTTTCGCCACATGGTATATATATCCCATACGTTTTGTTGCACATATATATGTAAAGGTTATGTTGCAAACTCGTGCATTTCGCAAGGTGCCATCCCTGTAGTTAGGATTATCAATCACATCGACCGTTATTCTCGTAATTCAGACCAAAGAAGCGCGACAAGTCGCAGTGGAAGCGACGCGACCGCTCCCAGCAGCACTCCGAACACCTCATGAATAATAACGACCAAAGAGAGGTGAGTGTCTACATCCGCCAGCAACACGTACTGTGTCGCACTAACAGCCCCCGTGAGTCGTCGTCAGCCTGTGGATATAGTGATATATATATATATATATCAGGGGTTAATATTATAATAAAGACAAATTTGTCTTTATTAACTCCTGCTGATATATTATATATGTGTGTGTGTATATAGTGATATATGTGGATTAGTGATGTAGTGTGTGTGGATATGTGGATAGGCGTATGTATGTGTGGATATGTGGATAGGCGAGGCTTGTGATCTTCTCACTGTGTAGCGTGATTCCTCTGTAATTGTAATTAGTCGTTGTTGGCTGCGATGCAGATATTTAGAGGCTTTTGAAGCCACGTTAGCAATGAACTAGCAGTTTGTAGTATGTAACAAATATCTGAGGGGAGACTGGGCCCCAGCATTACGGGATGTGAGTCCATTGTGATTAGTTTTTGTGAGGTAGAGTGTAAATAGTATGAGATAGCGCTAGCGGTGAGTTAGCTGTTGCGGTGCGTACGTATGTGGTTGGCCATCGTGCTCAGAAATAATTATTTTTACTGCGGTTGAAATAATTTAACCACGGTTAAATTATGGCTCTTTTTGTTACCCAATCAGAGGCCTTGTTTCACATAATTTAACGCCGCGGTAAAAATAATTATTTCTGTCAAGTTCGATGGCCAACCATGTACGTGAGCGCTCACTGGTGGTGAGTGAGACGCTGAAGCAACAAGAGAACAGCAGACTCGGCGGCGACGCTTTCTTTACGGAAAACCGTCGTACGACCCGAATAACGTCGTGCGATGATGTTGAGTTATTGTCCATCAGGAAGATCGTAAAGCGCGACGAAAGCCTTGATTCATAGACGCGCTCCATACACCCCCACCGCGGCGTATTACGTACACGCACTCTGTAGCAACAGCAATAGCCTGGTGACTCGTTATTAATGTACAGCGTGTACACTCACGGGGTTGCCGCCTCTGTAGATTGTTGTATTCTAATAGAGTTTAGGCGTTCCAGTGATCCGTGTGTGTGTGTGTGCGTGCGCTGTGTGCGTGTGCGTGTGCGTGTGCGTGGCGGTGCGCGTCGCGCGTGCGCAGTGTGCGAGCTGCGTGCGTGCGTGCGTGCGTGCGTGCGGCTGCGTTCGTGTGTGTGACGATCCAGAGCGCGTGTTACGTGACTTTTACGTGCGCACTAGATCTGTCGCTCGCTGCAGTTCTTCTCTCGTCTTCTGTACTTTGCTTATATTTGCCGCGTTTGTCGTTGTCTCTTTCTCTCTCCATCGACGCTCTTCTCTGCAGTATGAGCTGATGGAGAGACATGCCCGCCGGTGGCGTGTAAGTGTCGCTTCGTGGCATCGTGTGTGTGTCTGATGCTGACAGTCACCTCCCTTCTGTCTGTCTGTCTGTCTGTCTCTTTGTCTGTCTGTCTATCTAAGGCATTTAAGTGTCGCTTTCGTGGCATCGTGTGTGTGTGCCTGCTGCACGCCAGTCACCACCCTACTGTCTGTCTGTCCTGTCTGTCTGTCTGTCTGTCTGTCTAAGGCGTGTAAGTGTCGCTTCGTGGCATCGTGTGTGTGTGCCTGCTGCACGCAGTCACCACCCTACTGTCTGTCTGTCTGTCTGTCTGTCTGTCTGTCTGTCTGTCTGTCTGTCTGTCTGTCTGTCTGTCTGTCTGTCTGTCTGTCTAAGGCGTGTAAGTGTCGCTTCGTGGCATCGTGTGTTGTGTGCCTGCTGCACGCCAGTCACCACCCTACTGTCTGTCTGTCTGTCTGTCTGTCTGTCTGTCTGTCTGTCTGTCTAAGGCATTTAAGTGTCGCTTCGTGGCATCGTGTGTGTGTGTGCCTGCTGCACACAATCACCACCCTACTGTCTGTCTGTCTGTCTGTCTGTCTGTCTGTCTGTCTGTCTGTCTAAGGCGTGTAAGGGTCGCTTCGTGGCATCGTGTGTGTGTGCCTGCCTGCACGCAGCGTCACCACCCGTACTGTCTGTCTGTCTGTCTATCTGTCTGTCTGTCTAAGGCGTGTAAGGGTCGCTTCGTGCATCGTGTGTTGCGCGTGTGCTGCTGCACGCAGTCACCACCCTACTGTCTGTCTGTCTGTCTATCTGTCTGTCTGTCTGTCTGTCTGTCTGTCTCTGTCTGTCTGTCTGTCTGTCTGTCTAAAGGCGTGTAAGGGTCGCTTCGTGGCATCGTGCTTGTGTGTGGCCTGCTGCACCAGTCACCACCCTGCTGTCTGTCTGTCTGATCTATCTGTCTGTCTGTCTAAGGCGTGTAAGGGTCGCTTGTGCATCGTGTGTGTGTGCCTGCTGCACGCAGTCACCACCCTACTGTCTGTCTGTCTTCTGTCTATCTGTCTGTCTGTCTAAGGCGTGTAAGGGCTCGCTCGTCGGGCATCGTGTGTGTGTGCCTGCTGCACGCAGTCACCACCACTACTGTCTGTCTGTCTGTCTATCTGTCTGTCTGTCTAAGGCGTGTAAGTGTCGCTTCGTGGCATCGTGTGTGTGTGCCTGCTGCACGCAGTCACCACCCTACTGTCTGTCTGTCTGTCTGTCTGTCTGTCTGTCTGTCTGTCTGTCTGTCTGTCTGTCTGTCTGTCATGTCTGTCTGTCTAAGGCGTGTAAGGGTCGGCTTCGTGGCATCGTGTTGTGTTGCCCTGCTGCCACGCAGTCACCACCCTGCTGTCTGTCTGTCTGTCTATCTGTCTGTCTGTCGTAAGGCGTGTAAGGTCGCTTCGTTGGCATCGTGTGTGGTGTGCCTGCTGCACGCAGTCACCACCCTACTGTCTGTCTGTGTCTGTCTATCTGTCTGTCTGTCTAAGGCGTGTAAGTGTCGCTTCGTGGCATCGTGTGTGTGTGTGCCTGCTGCACGCAGTCACCACCCTACTGTCTGTCTGTCTGGTCTGTCTGTCTGTCTGTGTCTAAGGCGTGTAAGGGTCGCTTCGTGGCATCGTGTGTGTGTGCCTGCTGCAACGCAGTCACCACCCTACTGTCTGTCTGTCTGTCTATTCTGTCTGTCTGTCTAAGCTCTAAGGCGTTGTAAGGGTCGCTTCGTGGCATCGTGTGTGTGTGCCTGCTGCACGCAGTCACCACCTACTGTCTGTCTGTCTTCTGCTGTCTGTCTGTCGCTAAGGCGTGTAAGGGATCGCTTCGTGCGATCGTGTGTGTGTGCCTGCTGCACGCAGTCACCACCTACTGTCTGTCAGTCTGTCTTTGCGTTTTGTGTGCGTGCGTGCATGCGTGTGTGTCTGTATGTCACTTTATGCGTATATATATGTCTGTCAGCGCGTGAGTGTGTGTGAGTGCGTGCGTGTGCGTGTCCTCCTCTGTATGTCTGTCTGCTTACCTGCCTGCCTGCCTGGCTGTCTGCCTGGGTTAACGTTTATGGTAGTGGGGCTGTTGATTACCTATATGGTTAAAGTAGGTTTTTTTACCTATATGGTAGTGGTGGTCACTGCTTGACTCTAATTGTGTGACTGTCCATCTTCATGGCTGCGTTCCGACCGTATCTCTTTGGTGGTTAAATTGTATAACTGTTTGTCTACACAGCTGTGATGTAAAGCTGTGACCGTAACGGTACTATACTACTACTACGTCTACTATAGACTCACAGCGTGTCACTGTCTAGCTCTATCTGTATAGCGTGATACTGTCTGTATCAGAAGGTCACGAGACTCTAAATGTTCTCCTGTCTATACGTGGTAACGGTGTGCTTGTTGTATGTTGCTGCTGGTGGCGGTAGAACTGCGCGCACCTGCAGACGCACTGTCCACACTTTGCCATCGTAGATATATACAAACACAATCCATGCAAATTTAAAAACATAAATTGACGAATATTTATAGAAGTCATACAGCAGCTATTCTACATACCGGCAGTGGTGTCAGTGCGACCCATCAGTACGCCCCCTACAAACCGTAACAAACGCTGCATCGGCCGGCGCGCGAGGGAGTCAGCAATCCATGTGTTTGTATATATCTATGCCGCCACCAACATCACATAGCTCTCTCCACTCGCTGCGTTGACTCACGTTACTCACGATGCACTGTATGTGTGTAAACCCAGTTCAACTTAAGGGGGGCTTATGTCCGGGCTTGCGAGCCGACTTCGACTGGAAGCAGACTCAGGATTTCGAGCAACTCGAAGCGATCGGCAGCGACTAGTTGCGTCCAGTTGCCCACTGTTTTATTCTGAGCAACTAGTGGCGGCCAGTCGCAGGCAGTCGCGTCACAGTCGCTTCCAGTCGAGTCGGCTCGCAAGCCCGACATAAGCCCCGCCTTTATGTCCACCTCATCACTGCTGCACGGCACACACACCTACCCCTCACGGGTTGCCTGCCACACACACCTACCCTCACGGGTTGCCTCCACACACACCTACCCTTCACGGGTTGCCTGCCACGCACACACCTACCCTCACGGGTTGCCCTGCACACACACCTACCCCTCAGGCGTGCTGCCACACACACCTACCCCTCGCGGGTTGCCTGCCACGCGGGCATTCCACCGTCACGCATGCAGTAGTTAATCAATTCTTCACGGACGAGTGTGGCTCTTCGTTCGGCCAGGGAATCAGGGAACAGGAAAGTAGACATTGGTAAGGCAGCAGCTGATAAATACGTGCACTGCGTGAATGAACCGTGGTTGACTCCATCCAGTGGGAAAAAATCCAGATTTGCTTTAATCGTTTGAGTGTTTCGATAAGAGATGGTGATGTCATCGGGGGATACAGTTAGCTGATGTCGGCTCAAGTTAATATTAGGATAAGTGTGCATGAATTATCATTATCAATCCTAACCAAACCCAACTTTAACCCTCACTTAACCCTCACCTTAACCCAACCCCAACCTTAGCCCTCACCTTAATCCCTTATACATACATATATATATATATATATATATATATATATATATATATATATAAAGTAGATGAGTGAGCAAGTGCATGGAGTGATCCGTCATCTTCAAGGTAGCCACTTGTTGCTATCAATCAGTGGCGCCGCGAGTCGTAATTAATCGATGCTTGTTTTCGCCACTGCATTGCAGAAGTACATCCAGGAGGCGCGTAAGAGCGCGGGCCCGGGGATAGGCGACATGTCAGCGGCAACCATCGCTCACACCAACTGGAAGTTTGTCGAGACATTACTCAAGGAGGTGAAGAGCAAGGTAGGACCATCCTTCAAAGTTCAAATTCGCTGAGCAACGTTCTAATCCATGAGGAGCGATGAAGGAATGGGAGAAATGTGCAAAGGAAGGAAGCGACACTGGTCGGTCAGGATGAGATCAAATTTCATTACCTTCTAAATGGCTGGTCATTGAAACGTAATTCATAAACGTGCACATAACGAGTACTTTATAGAAGGTTTTGCTTGGCTCATCCATGAGATTTCTGTAATGTGAGTTTAACACAATAAAACATCGTCAGCACAATACTATTACAGTCCTTGCCTCTCACCCCTCTCCTTCTCTTCTCTCTCACCTCATCCTCTCTCATCACCTCTCCTCTCTCTCATCGCAGACCAAGCGCTGGTTGGTGAGAAGCTCGGACAGGAGGCCGTCGAGCTGGGTCACGGCGAGGTCACGATCACGGCCGGCGTCGAGGAGAACACGCTCATCGCGAGTCTGTGTGACCTGCTTGGAGCGCATCTGGGTCACGGCCTGCAGACGAAGAAGGTGAGCGCGGGAGGCGGGGGCGGGGCGTGGGGGCTGGGCGGGGGCAGGGACGCGGAGCCTGTTGTTGAGAACGAGTGAGTTAACGCTGCGCCGTTTTAAACGCGTGCTGGCGCGAATGTTCCGATGAATGTTCAGAGCGTAGCACTCGCGCTCATGAGATGCTTTGTTGTTTTGAGTTCTTTCATCGTCGAAGATTGACTAGTCGCGCAGTCAGGTGTTTGCGCGTGCGTGCGTGCGTGTATGTGCGTGAGTGAGTACGTGCGTGCGTGCGTGTACGTGTATGTGCTTGAGTGAGTGCGTGCATGCGTACGTGTACGTGCGTGAGTGAGGGCGTGCGTGCGTGCGTGCGTGTGTACGAGGTATAGGTGTGTGTGAGAACGTGTATGTGCGTGAGTGAGTGCGTGTGTGGGTGCGTGTGTGTGAGGTATGCGAGGTATAGGTGTGTGTGAGAATGAGATGTGTGCGTCTGTGTGTCTGTGTCCATATATAGGTGCTTTATAGGGCTTAGCAGCTTGTCACCATTACACCTCCTAATGCACTGTTTTATCGTCGTGGTGCACACATCGCCAGCAGATGAAGAAGGTAACACCTCTTACACATGCTGCCAGTGTGTTTCGCCCATCGTGTGCGCCTCTATAAACAAGAATTGTTGACGCTGCTGTGTGGAATCTCTGCGCGGCGGTGCATGCACGCGTCCGCGCTCGCTTGGTGACAGTATAGCCTGCTATATAGGGTGACCTCCTCTGACCTTTTACTCAAGAGCTTCCACTCGTTGCTGTTCCCACTGTCTTCCACTGTCTACAAAATTCACAGGAAGCAAAATGTTCAAACTCCACTTGGAAGTAACTTTTTTTATAATCTATACTTTCTTGTCTAATTTCTTTCCAGAAAATTTCTTTCCGGAAAAAAATGTAATCGTATAACCCCTGGGTAGTTAACTTGGGTTAGACTTGACACTGCTGTGGCGAAACATATCCTGAGTTGCTACTGTAACTGGCGACGAGGTCCAGTCTAGTGAAGCCGCAGGGAAGGCGGTAGCATTGTGGTAGCTTCCTGTACTGGTTACGTGGGCGTTTATGCAATTTCGTGCTACTCTACCTGATGCATGACATTGCATCGATGCGGCGCGTGGAATCACACGCGTGAACACTACTACCCACTCTATCTATTGTAGTTTCAGTTTTCAGCGTGGCCGGAGTTATATATGCTTAAATCATTCGCAAAGTTGATTTGGTGACGCCAAGCAGGGTTTGTTGGTGGCAGTGACTGCTGCGCGTGCGTGTGTGTGTTATATAGCAAGGCTGCCAGCTGCGCTCCGTGTTCAGGTTGCCAGCACCAGTTACCTGTGCACTCCTATGTTGCATATTTCTGATGTGTTTTTGGGTGGTTTGTTGCTACTGTTGTCAGCTTTTACTATATGGCTGGTGTGTATATGGAGAAGTGCTATCGTTCGTACGAATATTATTTCAGTCACGATCAGTTTATCTACCTTTTTGCTTATGGACTGGACCTGTGATTGATAGTTTGAGTGCAAGAAATATATTACTTAAGATTTAAGGTGGTGGACTGAATGCTTTTTAGCCTTGTAGCATGACCACATGTATACATATTCGCCGTGCATGTAGTCATACTACAATCATGTAGATGTGACAGATGTTCTGTTAGGGTCTCATATAGGCAATTGTTAGGAACTGCCGACGCTGTTGGCATCTACTAAAACTAACCATAAATATCTGTCTCGAGTCTCCTTACCCTTGTAAAGTAAGCAAAAGAAATAAAAGAAATAGCAGTGAGCAATGATGTTTAAGTTAGCTAAAAAATTATAGTGGCACATACAGTATAGTCATATATAAAGGTATATTTGAAACAGTTATTTGGTATTTCAGCATATTATTTTTCATTTCACTGATGGTTCAACCATAAAATTTGAATCACTGAGGTTTATTCAAAGGTTATGAAGTTGGTAACTGATAAAATATATTTATATAAATTTACATATATATATATATCTTGATATATATATATATTATAATTATATGCATAATATTTATATATGTATAAATATATTTTATTTATTATTTAATAATTCTAGATAAAGTAATTATAATAATATTCAAATTCATTTAATCATGTATTTTATATATTTGATATTTTCTTTAGTATTTACCATTTAAAATAATTATATACACATATAGTTATAGTTCTATACTTTTCCTCATGTATGACGTAATGGTAGGGCTGTGCCCACGTGGTAGGGTGTCATGCAGCAGTAGTGACCGAGGACGGATGGTACTGATGCGGATGCTGCTGTGAGTGGTACTGATGCGGATGCTGCTGTGAGTGGTACTGATGCGGATGCTGCTGTGAGCGGTACTGATGCAGATGCTGCTGTGAGTGGTACTGATGCGGATGCTGCTGTGAGCGGTACTGATGCAGATGCTGCTCGTGAGTCGGTACTGATTCGGATGCTGCTGTGACCGCGTACTGATGTGGCGGAATGCTGTCTGTGAGCGGCTACTGATGCAGACTGCTCTGTGGGCGGTAAGCTGATGCGGATGCTGCGCTGTGACGCCGTTCCTCGTGAGAGTGCCACGTCGCCAATGAAATCCTGTGAGCGGTACTGATGCGGATGCTGCTGTGAGCGGTACTGATGAAGAGGCTGCTGTGAGTGGTACTGATGGAGATGCTGGTGGTGTTGCAGGGCAAGTCGGCTCTGTGGTCTCACCTGCTCAGCTTCATGGAGATAGAGGAGTGCAACGACACGAGCAAGCCGATCGACCCCAACTTCCTCACTCCCGGTACGCACGCCCCGCAGACACGCACGCACCCTCATCATAGGGGGCGCTGCCCGTAGACACGCACCCTCGTCATAGGGGGCGCTGCCCGTAGACACGCACCCTCGTCATAGGGGGCACTGCCCGTAGACACGTGCCCTCATCGTACGGGGCGCTGCCCATAGACACGCACCCTCATCATAGGGGCGCTGCTGCCTTGCTAGCTAATTACACGTGGTCGTGAGGTGTCCTTGGAGAATTTTGTGTGTTTGGATGTTTTAGGCGAGGCGATGAGTTTGCGTTAGACGGCTAGCGCATGAGTCGGCAGCCGTGTTCACCTTCGGCGATGGTTGCTGATTTTTGGCAACCTTTGGTGACTTTTAGTGACCCTTAGTGCATATTGGAGGGTTATTTAAGGTTTATTAATTATCGATTGGTGATGTGCAATGGTCTGTTTAGTTTACAGAAATCTCATTGGGTCACAAGATCACGTGATGTGGTTAGTCACTCGAAATTCACACGTTTAACGAAAATGAATTTTGTGAAAAGGGTTATTTGATGAGAATAAATGCAGACACTTGAAGCTGTGGAGGAACTGGTGAGGTATAGGTGACATTTAAGAAGTGCCATTTGGTCACTGAGATACATATGTGAGGGAATGCTGGTCGTCACTGCGATGGTAGCATTAATTATTAATTATTTTTAATTAACAATATTATTAATTAAGATGCAAGAATTTTGAATCAAGTTTGGGGTGACTGTGGGCTACAGAAATTCAAGCGCAACGCTACGATATCGTTTCGATTTTCGTTATCGGTTTCTTCGACGCAAAATGGCTGCTTCCTCATTTTGAGTAGCGATGAAATTGATCCGCAGTATAATTTTAATAGCTTCAGCTTCGGCTACAGTTATGTTGTGTTTGGCGTATATCGTTTAATGTTGTGCACAGCAGCGTCTAGCTGCTAGGTTATCAGAGGCGCTGATAGTTATTACACGTTTGTGGTCTCACATTATTCACACATGCAGCCTTGGCCTGGTGCATACTACGCAAGAGAATCGACCGTACGTCTCTAACTGAAATGATGCTAAACTAACGTGCTTCCACTCGCTTGATAGATGTTTTGCTCACCGCTTATTTTCATTTTTGATATTTTTTTATGTAGTGTGTTTCAGGCTTTTGCGATTATTATTATTATTATTATTATTATTCGTTGTTATTGTTGGTTGTTGTTGCTGTAATGTTGGCTGCTCGCCGGCAAGAAAATTTGACAGGCTTTAATAGAAATGTTCGATAGGTCCATCATGGGTAGATAGCAATTCTCACTAGAGTGGATTTGTGTCGACTGTTGTATCCGCACAGTTTGTTCTACTCTACTTTTCCCATGATTTAGTATGCCCGTAACTCAAGTCTAAAAATTTTTTACAAATGATATGAACAAAACAATATTTTGATAGAAACGACACAAACAGTTCGTAATTATTAATTGATATTATTATCTTGATTATAATCAAGTTTGATCTTGACTACGGAAATGGAAGCCTTTCGACATATTTCTTTTAGCCTAGATGTTTGGTGGTGCTTAAAGTCAACGTTGAATTTGCATGTTTCTGTACTGTGGGTGTGGCCAGGGGTAGTGTAACCAGTATCTACGTCAGTGCTTCTTAAACTGGTGAATGGTTCACCCAAGGGTGGATGAAATTATTTTGGGGTGAATGAAACTTACCAAAAACATAAGGGAAATTTAGTCGCGGGTGAATGAAATTTTATGAGAAAGACTCGAGGGTGAATGACACTGAAATAGTTTAAGGAGCACTGCTCTACGTAATGCAATGTGTGTGCGCGTGTGTGGATTTATTTCGAACATTTAGAACACGTCTGCGTAGCGAGAAGTGCGAGACATAGATGATTTTTTTACCCTGCACGAACCACATTTATTTTTTACGTGCCCTTGCAGTGCGGCCTACTAGTCCCGATATATCTGAAGAGAAAAAGATGCTGTACGGGTACGAAGTGCCCGTTAGTTTGCACAGATTCATCGAAGGTAACGACACTTTGCTAGCAAAATAATGTCAAAAACCCCACAAAGCAAATCGAAAATGATTGAATAATTTTCATCGGATCTCTATAGTTCATGTAAAATAAAGTTGATTTCAGTTTGATCCATAGTAAGTTATAATTACTTACAACGGATGAAAAATTGATTAAAAGTAGAAAATTAAAATTTCGTCGTTATAAGTAATTATAACTTATTATGGATCTAACTGAGATAAACTTTATTTTTATGCAAATCGAAAATGTTTATCGTGCAACTAGCTCTAGTACTATAGCCCTTGTTCGCCACAGCCTGTGGCTTGTTACTTGTGGCTTGTCACCTGTGGCTTGACGCCTGTGTTGTCACCTGTGTTTGTCACCTGTGGCTTGTCACCTGTGGCTTGTCACCTGTGGCTTGTCACCTGTGGCTTGTCGCCTGTGGCTTGTCGCCTGTGGCAAACAAGGGCTATAGTACTAGACTCTAGAGCTATCGTGCAACTTAACGTTAAACGTGATCGATTTAAAGTTTGCATAGATCAACTTTGTTCAATTTGAATGACGAGTCAAAGCTGTTTAATTTTGAATCTGCATCGGTTAATATGCGACCCCGACTGCCGTTTCCGATCAGTATCGTAGAGGTCGAACCGTTTAGTTCCAGTGTATATTTTGCACCGTGGCATGACTGTGTCTGGCATCTCTGTCGTCTGGTGGCGTATATTTGTTGTTATACCGGTATACGTGTTGGAACAGCATTGCAGCGAATTCCAGGAACCATTTTCCAGGGAATATCTCTCGCAATTCTGTTGCTTGTTACTTGACATTGCTGCCACCAGGTGGCACTGACGTCGGGTGTCATCGATGATCTTACTGCATGGTGTGTTTGCGTGTTTTTCCATTTATTTACTAGATAAGAGGAATGCTGTAGACCAATTGATGTATACGGGATTAAAAGGGGTTGAAAACTTTCTGGCAAGAACGGCAAACCCAGAAGGTAGGGTTGGGTTCTTTGCAAAACCAGGATTGCAAGAAAAAACGTGAAAAATCATCGGTGTTGCATGCTGTGCAACCTTTGGTGCTTTGCTGAATGCCAGAGTGTTTCCATAACTCTTAACAGTTTTGAAGATTGCAAGTCTATGCATTGTAGGCTGCCATGCTTCTCAGTCTCTTCTTCTATCTCCCTCCCTCCGTCCCCTCCCTCCGTCTCCTCCCTCCCTCCCTCCCTCCTTTCCTTCCATCCCTCCTTCCCTATCGCCCTCTCTCTTGTTCTTTCTATCTCTCTTGCTTGTTCTATTTTGCTCTCACTCTCGTTCGAAAATTTCACATTTAAACAAGAATTGAATTTGATGTCTGTATGTAAAAACTGATTAAAAGTAGAAAATTAAAGATGATTTCGAAAGAAACAAATGTTCTAGATGAAATAAAAGCTTCTAATGAACGCCAAGCTGTACGAGATATCATCAGCCATACGCCTCTCTCACGCTTGCTGACAAACAACAACGACGTGTTGCTACCGCTCGCTAACCTACGTTCTCTTGTTCCCGGCAGAGTTCTCGATGACGCTCGAGTCGGACGCGGCGCCACGGCAACCGGCATCGTCGTCGACGACGATGGTGCCAAAGCCGCAGCTGCCGATCATATCGCAGTCGGCGCCGGCGTCGGCCACGTCGTCCCCGAAGAGGGAGCCACGTAAGGAGGTGGCAGGGGGCGCTGGCAGCAGGCGGCGGTCGAGCTCGGCGACGCCCATCACGATCCGCACGCTGCCGACGACGATCGTCTACGACATGAAGTATGGCCGCCGCGTGTGACCCTTGATCTTGTGCTGCAGAACTAGTGTTAATGATCTCCTGCTTTAAACCCTGTGATCCAGACCTCGTGCTGCAGACCTAGTGTTAATGATCTCCTGCTTTAAACCCTGTGATCCAGACCTCGTGCTGCAGACCTAGTGTTAATGATCTCCTGCTTTAAACCTAGTGACGCGAAACCAATCCGTGCTACAGACCTAGTGTTAAATGCATCCCTGCCCTTCGAAACTCTGTGATCGCAGAACCCATTGTGCTGGCAAGACCTAGTGTTCCATCCGGATCCTCCTGCCTTTAAACCTGTGATCCAACTTCTGCTGCAGACCTACGTGTTAATGATCTCCGCCTTGCTTTAAACCCTGTGATCCACGAACCTCGTGCTACCAGGAGACCTAATTGTTAATCGATCCCCTTTCACTGCTTTAAACCACTGTGATCCAGAACCTTGTGCTGGCAAGACCTAACGGTGATTCATGATCTGCTCTGCTTTAAACCCTGTTGATCCAGACCTTCGTGCTACAAGACGCTAGTGTTAATGGATCTTTCGCTGCTTTAAACCCTGTGATCCGATATATTGTGCTACACGCTAGTGCTTAGATGATCTCCCTGCTCACAACTCTGTCAGATCCAGACCATTGTGTCCATCAGACCTAGTTGTTTAACTGATCTCCGGCCTGGCTTTAAACCGGCTGTGATCCAGACCTCGTCGCTAGCAAGAACCTAGTGTGTAACGGATCTCCTGCTTAACCCTGTCGATCCAGAACCTCTGTGGCTACAGACGCTACGTGTTAAGGATGTCTGATCGCGTTACTGACCCGCTGTGATTCAAGACCCTTGTGGTCTGGCAAGAGCAGGCCTGTGTTAATGAGCTTGGGTTAATTTAACTTGTAGTTACAATATAGCGTCGGTGTTAATCGCAGCTCGTCCGTTGAAAATTACTCTGTGTTAATCTGAGCTCGGTGTACTAATTAGCTTATGATTAATGGAGGACTTGTGTTATTGATCTTGTTTCGGGCAGTCCCTTGTGGATCGGGCTAATGAAGTTGTTTATGCTCGGCGAGCTAATCTCTCGCCAGCAGCTGTTATGCTGCACCGACTCTTTTTACCAGACTCACGTACCGGTTTATTCGACATGGTGGCGATATTTAGAATTAGATTTGTTGAATGAAATGTGTACACATGTCCCAATGTCGCACTTGCAGTTTAAAATCTTGCCTCCTGCGCAGATCCGCATCAGCTGAGTACTTGTAAGCTTGGGCGAAACATTTTATCTTGCAAAGCTTCTAAACGGAGATAAACAGGGAAGTTAAACCAAATAATATCGTAGCAAGGCTTCCGAACGGAGATAAACAGGGAAGTTAAACCAAAACATTTTATCATCGTTGCAAGGCTTCCGAACGGAAATAAACAGGGAAGTTAAACCAAATATTTTGTAGCAAGGTCCTCGCAAAAAACGGAGATACGAGCAGGAAGTTAACACCAAAGACACTTTTATTGTAGCAAGGCCTCCAAACGGAGATAGACAGGGAAGTTAAACCAAACATTTTATCGTTGCAAGGCTTCCGAACGGAAATAAACAGGGAAGTTAACCCTAACAACAACTACCAATCGTGTGATTGTTTGTAAGATGCATGCATGTACGTTGATGCGTTGAGCACAAACCTTCGACACATCGATGGTTCGACTTTCTCTAACGTGCGCGCGCAAGTACGAGTAGGCTTCCAAACAGAGATAAACGGGGAAGTTAACCCTAACAACGACAAATCGTATGATCGTTTGTAAGCTCCAGGCATGTACGTTGAGGCGTTGATCTACAAACCTTCGAACCTTCTCAAACGCGCGCGTGCGTTTGTGTCGTCGTTGCAGGAACATACAGGCGATGAGGGACATTCTCCTTTATATAACTATACATATATAACTGTGATTGTTCATACGCTGCAGGCATGTACGTTGAGGTGTTGACGCATTGATGGTTCCACCTTCTCTAATGCTCGCATGTTTGTGGTCGTCGTTGCAGGAACATACAGGCAATGAGGGACATTCACCTTTATATAACTATACATATATAACTGTGATTGTTCATAACGCTGCAGGCATGTACGTTGAGGCGTTGACACATTGATGGTTCCACCTTCTCTAATGCTCGCATATTTGTGTCGTCGTTGCAGGAACACACAGGCAATGAGGGACATTCACCTTTATATAACTATACATATATAACTGTGATTGTTAATACGCTGCAGGCATGTACGTTGAGGTGTTGACGCATCGATGGTTCACTAACACTCGCATGTTTGTGGTCGTCATTGCAGGAACATACAGGGGATGAGAGACATTCGCACAGACATCGGGTATGCGCGCGCGTGGGTACGACTCGCCCTGGAGCGCAAGCTACTCTCCAACCACCTTAAAGAGCTGCTGTCTGACAGCGATCTGACTAGGTGAGGGTGAGAATGGGTTCTGTGCTGGCAGAGAGGGGAGCTGCTTGTAAAGGGAGCTAGTTCAAATGCTGCAAAATGGTTGTCGCGCGTCGGGATATATAATTATTATGTTTATTATTATATTAGTAATTATAGTAATATAATATATATTTTTTGGCCTGATGTTTTTTTTTATGAATTTTCTTGTATTATTTAACAAACTTCCTATGTTCTATGAATTTTGGGACTAAACAGCGTATACCTCTATGCAATGATGAGGACTAATGTTGATCAACTAATAGGCCAGTGTCATGGTAGTACGATAGATGTCCCAGTGAGGCAGAATTCATATATTAGACGTGACATGGCGTCTATGTCACACTAGATGTGGTGAATGGTGCTTGACCAGGTCAGGGGAAAGCAGGTCGTGCCATTGGACACTTTTGTCTTATGCCCTTTGCCCTTGAGTTGTCATTGTGCTTTCTGCTAAGCGGGGTGATTTATGCAGGAAATGTTGTCATTGCTCGTGCTGTAATTTTCTCATACTGTCACTGCTTTCACAGGAGCCTGTACAAGAGGTACGCGTTTCTGCGCTGTCCGGACGAGAAGGAGCAGTTCCTCTACCACCTCCTCTCGCTCAACGCAGTCGACTTCACCTGCTTCACAAACGGCTTCCCGAACGCGCGTGAGTGTCCTTCCCGCGTAGATCTCCACGTCAACTCCACGCGCAGCCGTCTGTCATGCATGTTGCCTACTAATATTAACTACCGATAATACTAGCTATATGGGGGTCTGTGCGTGACCATGCCAAGCATTTCCTGTGGCGAATTAACGTTTAGTCTAGTATTATTTCTCAGTTATTTCTCTAGTATCAATGACTATTCCTAGTAAAGCATGAAAAGGTCTGGTTGGGATTTACTGTTTCCCACTGAGTCTAAACCTAAAACCTAAATAACTTTGCACAATAAACAACGAATGTTCCATGAAGTCCAGGATAAATTGAGGCCATCACATGACGTTCGATATATCGACGTCATTTAGCGTCGTCCATATTTAACTTTTACATTGACATAGCATTTCTGGTGGCGAATTAACCCTGTTATTTCTTTAACCTTTTCTCGTAAAGCTATTAGTTGATTTAGAAATATCTGGTTGTGATTTACTGCTTCCGAGGGTCTAAACCTTTTCATTACTAGCTCATTTAAAATAACTTGCACAAAACAAAGTATATTACTAGAGGTCGTTACATGACGTTCTACATAGATGTTGTTTCGCGTCATCCATATTTAATATTGCAATGACATGTTGCGATCACGTCGTCGTGTTTTTTGTTTTTGCCATCCAGTGGTCACGTACAGGGTCGTGATATTTAACATTGCAATGACGTGTTTTTTTTTTTGCTGACCAGTGTCCACCTACAGGGTCGTGATATTTGCCGGGCGGAAGTTCAATGCGACGACGACGGCTAACCCGTACGTGTGCATGGGCGGCACGATCGGCCACACGGGGCCGATAAACATGCCGAAGGGCTGCGTAGAACATGTGTTTCAGGTGAGCCCAGGTGTTACAGCTCGTTATGCCGAGTTACAGCGTTACTATTATGTTACACCGTGTCACACTGTCCTTATTTGTGTCACACCGTCCCTATAGCTGTTGTTTACTATTTAACACTGTGTCACACTGTTTCTACTATTTTTCTCTGTGTTACACAATACCTGCTGTGTTACACAATCTCACACTCTGCCTACTGTGTTAACATGTGTTACACTGTGTTGATATAATGTCACACTGTGTCCCAGCATGTCACACAACATTACACACTGTTGCACTGTCTTACACCATGCAGCGCCACATTGTTATGTTGGTTATGCTGGTGGTCTAGTCTTCAGTTCTCTTCTTCTAGTTCCCCACTGCCCCTTTCTATATCATGGTTAGGGCCATGATATCTTTAGGTAAAATCTGTGGGGCACCATAGTAACGCGTAGTTATAGCGGAAGAGTAAATGCACTTTTTTCTGTTTTTTAGCACAAAAACCTGGGACTGCTGTCGACGTTACGACTTGGTCACGACAACTCCGGAATGTCACCCAAGTGGATGGTCGACAATGTGGTAGTGAGAAACGAAGTCACTGGCAAGATATACAAGTGCGTGCTGCTACCAACACTAGTCATTAATACTCGTTACTATTATTACTACTCGTTATTATTACTATTACTCGTATTATTACTAGTCGTTAGTATAACTAGCATAGCCGCTATTGTTCACAGGTAATGAGGCTACTGCCACTTGTAGTAGTATTGTATTGTTGTAGTTGTAGTACATACTTGTACTGCAACTTGTACTAGTATTGCAGTTGTTACTGCTGCTACAGATGCTGTTGCTACGGACGACATTAGTTAAACCTGTGTTAACGATCACTTCAATAGAATGGAATCCTGTCTGTAAAGGCCAGTTCTTTAGTCTACCTTGAGTAGCAGTTATACTGTGAAACCACCTCGGTAGAATGGTCACCTGTCTATAAAGGACACTTTTTGGAACTTCCCTTGGATGACTGTTATATAAAGGTTGGATTGCATTTAGTATCCCTGCCCGACGACGTTATTGTTTTTGTTGTTGTCGTCATTTAAATACAGCCGGTTTAAGTGAAGAAAGTGCTTCTTGGTAGTACAGTGTGTGTATCATTGCACTTACGCTTGGCGCGTGTGTGCGTGTGTGTGTGCAGGTTTCCGTGTGGTCGCTGGCTGGGGAGAGGGGTGGACGATGGGAGCACAGAGAGACTCCTCGTGGGAGAGGTCCTGCCAGCAAACACTGACATCGAAGGTAAGGCAATATATCAGCTGCAACTTAGGTTAGGCTATACGAGGACGAGAGAAACAATTTTATATTTTTTTTATTTAACAAAAATTATTTTAAAAAAAATTTCTTTTGCAAGAAGATAAGGAATTTTAGATTTTCCATCTTGGACTTTTTATCATTTTTTTCTAACTATCTTTTTTTAAATGTTTGTGATCTCAGAATTCGTTTTTAGACAAGTTATCCTTTGTTGTTGCCGGTAGCTTTGGCGTCACTGCACGACACCCAACATAGACCCACATGGCAGCTGAGAGTGAAAACTATATTATTCTTGTTTCTACAGACTTGGTGTGTTCGTGTAGGAGCCCCCCATCACGCTCCCAGTCACCCGCTTCCCCACGCAAGACTGCCGAACCCAGTAAGTGTAACAGCTCTCTCTCTCTATAATATATGATGATGTAATATGTTCACGTGTGCATACTCGTTGTCATAGGTACACATGTGCATGCTGTCATGATGTCATAGGTACGTGAGTGCATACTCGTCAGGGGCGTGTACAGGGGTGGGGTCCAGGGGGTCCGGACCCCCCCTCCTGCTCGTGCAGAAAACGCATCTGAGGGGGTCTAATTTCAAACTTTTGGGGGGGAGGGCCCCCCAGACCCCCCTTCGCGTGCTCGCAAGTTTGGGTTACGGTTAGACCCCACCTCTGCTACAAATCCTGTACACGCCCCTGCTCGTATGATGTCATAGGTAAATTCATGCAGCTTTTGATAGCTGTCGAGAAGTGCCTACAACTTTTAATGAGTTGTTGATGTTTGATGTTATGGAGAGAAGTGTGCCAGTTCTAATGACATCACAGGTTAATGAAGTGTGCCAGTTCTAATGACATCACAGGTTAATGAAGTGTGCCAGTTCTAATGACATCACAGGTTAATGAAGTGTGCCAGTTCTAATGACATCACAGGTTAATGCTTCTCGTGACGTTGTAGAGAGGTGTGAACTGTTTCTAATTACATGATCATATGCATGTGCAGCATTTGATTTCATCGTGTAGAAAGAGATGAGTGCTACTTGTGATGCTGGTGCACGTAAACATGAACAACTGCCAACTTTACAATATTGGGGTGTGGTTAGGACACTCATGTCTAATTGCCTTGCTTTTTTCATCTCAGGAGTTTTCTATGCTTTTTCTTTGCCAGGGATCACGATCCCTGAAATACAGGAGATGCTGGGAGATGCAGTCAATAACATTGTCAAGTACTACTATAAACCAGAAAAGGAGGTGAGTAGATATCATTGAATTAGGAATACATTATGTTTTCCGTGTGGTTTTAGTACTTATGTGCTCCGGCCCAACTGTTTACTCTGTGTTGCTCTGTGCAGTATATGTATGTATAGGTATATGTATATGCCCCATTCTATGACAGTATACTTTGTTAATCTGTGTGGTTTTAGCACACGTAGATTTATACCTGTGTGTGACTATATACTCTGTTTTAGCTGCGTGATTTCATCGCACATGTATGTATATATATATATTATATATATATGCATATATGCTTGCCTATATACTTTATTGCTTCTCTGCGTGGTTACAGCATGGCACACTGACCCTGCTCAGGGGCGGATCCAGAGCTGGGGCTAGACAGTATTTTTAGAGATTTTAAGGGCACATCCCCCAAAAAGGGCCCACTATAAGCGCTGTAAGGCGCGAAGCACGTGGCGGGGGGTCTGGGGGGCCTCCCCCGATAAAATTTCAAAATTTCAAGGGTCCCTGGGCATAAAAATGAGCACCATTTGAGCACACATTTAGTCAAGCAACAATAGCTAAAAACCATATGGAATTTTATTTCTGTTTCATTTTGCCTGCGCTTTGCATACCAGCAATTAATGCAGAATAATTCAAGCACTTCTTTTCTTTTTCAGATATCAAAGCTAGTTTTGTTACCATGTAAAATTTTAATACCTGTCAGTGAATCAGGAGAAAAAGAAAACAAATAACGAATATAGCCAAATTCCATCAAATTGTTTTCTGTATTTTTTGTATTTTTTGTAAATTTTGAAGGGCACTTTGAAATCTAGACCGTATTTCCCAATACGGCAAATACGGTCTGAATCCGCCCCTGCTGCTGCACGTGTATGTATGTACATACACTCCTGCGTGCCTGTATATACTCTGTGTTTCTCTGCGTACGTGATTTCATCACACATGTATGTGTACATACTCTGTGTTTCTCTGCGTGATTTCATCACACATGTATGTGTACATACTCTGTGTTTCTCTGCGTGATTTCATCACACATGTATGTGTACATACTCTGTGTTTCTCCACGTGAATTCATCACACATGTATGTGTACATACTCTGTGTTTCTCTACGTGATTTCATCACACATGTATGTGTGTTTCTGTGTGTGCTTGCAGCGCGGCACACTAACAGTGCTGCTGTGTGGGGAGCGAGGACTCGTACACTGCATGGAGCTGGTGTTCCTCTGCGGCTACCGCTCCGCACGCATTTTCCGCCAACACTTCTTCACCTGGGACTTCATAGGTACTATACTATTCCATACCTATACCTACCCCATACACCTATACCACTACATACATGGGGCCCGTCCTGCACGCTGCGGCCGCTACAGTCATGAGTAAACTACTAGTATGTTAAACTATTTCTCAGTGTCATTCACCCTCGACTCTTTATCACAAAATTTCATTCACCCGCAACTAAATTTCCTTATGGTTTTGGTTTCGTTTCATTCACCCCAAAATAATTTCATTCACCCTTGGGCGAACCATTCACGAGTTTGAGTAGCACTGCTGTATACTACATACGACATACAGAGGGCACGTCCTGCATGTTACTGTCGCTACGTTCATGAGCCATAGGGACTCTGCTGACAGATGCTACTGCCAGAGTGGGGTGCTGCAGGATTTTTCGTGCGTAGTTTCTCTGGCCAATAAGAAAATATTTACGAGTAATATTTAATTTAATTTATTTAAGAGAATAATGTTTTGCCTTGCTTTGTAGGAGACAGTTGTTTGTCATTATTTTTTTGTTCGTATTCATTTATTATCGTGTATTTATTGTAAGTATCACTTGTACGCGCGAGTGGCGAGTAGGTGTTTGATCGAAAGCATTTAGTGTCGTCACCACTTATTCTGATTTCGCCGCTTATTGCCTCCAATCATTGACTGCAGGAGGGGGAGGGCCCCTGTAATCAATATGCGAGCTATGTGAATGGTCGGCACTCGTCCGACATTCACTAGTCTGCGATGATGATCGATCGTAGTGGGCACCTCTCACTCTGCAGTGTCGTCATAGTGGCACTCGTAGATATGCGCGATATATATATATATATATATATATCAGGAGAGATTAATAGGGAAGGAGTTGTAGACGATCAATAAACGAGGGAAATTCCGTCATTACTAGCCTTAGAATACCTACGAATTACTACGCATAGATACCAACTTGAGCTCAAAATTCGGGTACACAGTACATTCGCCGTTAGCAATCAGTGCGAAAGCGTTTCCTCATAATCACCAGCAAGTCCGGAGATACGACTAAAAGGTACGACACGATTATACCATTCTTTGGACCACTCAATTCAAACGTATTGCCTGCCGAACTTGAAACAAAAGGCAGGCTAGTTTTTTTGTTTTTTTTTTTTTTTTACTACGCACTCTTGATTCACTTGCGAGGCGGTTGTGCTCGCTGGGAGATTGGACTGTCGACGCAACACCTGGAGATAGACCTTTGTTGACCGCAGGTAACAGATACTACTGGCATGACGGCATATCAGCTGGTATGCCCCACCAAACGCAGCCCAGCCCGATGACAGGCAAGCAGCTCCTGCCCAATCTTAGTGAGCGACACGCTCATCGCGAGATGAGCCAAGAGATGCGTTTAGTAGGCTGGCTTTTGTTTCAAGTTTATTGAAGTAACACTCACTTCCCTAATTATCATATCTGAATATATATAATATAGTAATATATATGGCGATGTAGAATAATATAGATATGCACTCGCCCAACATTCACTAGTCTGTACGATAATTGATTCGTAGAGAGCGCATGCTCACTGCGGGAAGTTTGTCAAATGTCGTGACGTTATGCGTGCGGCTGGGAATAGTCAGCACTCGTTCGACATTCAACATATATGGCGGATGCTATGATCTACTATCCACTGAGTCTATCGGATCAGTAGAGGGCACTCCTCACCTCCGACGGATATTTCATACGTTGCAGAGAAAGGTTGAATGGTTTCTTCGGCGAAGCTGCTTGAGGGAAGGAGTTTGGCGCGGGAGTCGGTTACTCCGCCGGTGAAACGAAGTGCGATGTAACTGCCACGTCGTGACGCGAATCAACTGGCGCGAGCGCCAGGCATCGGACAAGGACGCACAGATTGCAGCTGGTACTACATATCCGCTGCGTCGGCGGAGTAAGGTGTGACCACAGGCGCAGTCTGCTTGCACGGCTGGCCGCGCAGGTCAGAGGCGTGGTACGATGGTTTAGAGATAGTAGAGGGAGAGAGAAGAGAGAGAGAGAGGAGAGAGAGAGAGCAGAAGGAGAGAGAAGAGAAGAGAGAGAGAGAGAAGAGAGAGAGATGACGGCGAGAGAGAGCGAGAGCGAGAGCGGCGCGAAGAGCGGAAGAGCGAGACAGAGAGAGAAGAGAGAGAGAAGAGAGAGAGAGACACGAGAGAGAGAGAGTTAAGAGGGGAGAGAGAGAGAGAGGAGGAGGGAGGGAGGGAGGGAAGAGAGGGAATGAGAGGGACGAGAGAGAGAGGAGAGACGAGAGAGAGAGGAGAGAGAGAGAAGAGAGAGAGAGAGAGAGAGGAGAGAGAGAGAGAGAGGAGAGAGAGAGAGAGAGAGAGAGAAGAGAAGAGAGAGAAGAGAGAGAGAGAAGAGCAGAAGAGCAGAGAGAGATGAGAGAGGAGAGAGAGAGAGGAGAGAGAGAGAGCGAGGCGAGCGAAT